TATTGAAAAAAATGGACCCTTGCATTTTTGGATTCAGCATACCCAAAATATCCGGAAAATGCAATAAAATTGCTTTGGGCAAGCCTATCTCGCAAACCTGTTTTTTTGGACACTAGGTTTCTCACTAATTTAAGAATTAGTGCCTCTGGGTTTCTGTTGCCAACATTTGCGCCTTCCAAAGCTCGATTGAACGTAGACAAGGGAAGGTACGAAGGTGAAGCGTGGAAGCCAATGGTGTCTAATAGTATGCAATGGATTAAAGTAGATATGCGTGTTCCCGTATTGGTGACGGGAGTGAAGACCCAAGGTAGAAAGGGATCTGGTGAATTTGTCAGAAAATATGTTGTGAAGTACAGTAATGATGACAAAACTTGGACTGATATTTGGAAATCACGTCAATTGAATATTAAGGTATTTTCTGGGTATTATAAATTATACTTATATAATATATAATGAGTGTAGGTTCCATGTATGTCTTGATAATATAAAGTAAGTACGATTATACACTGTAGTAACGTATACGTTGACATTATAGACATAAAAATATATTTCGAGCACTCCTGTGCTTTTCCTCAGCATTCACGTGTTTCCTCAGTGAAGACGCATTTCATGTATTTTAGTATATGACTGAATATATTGAACCTTGAACCTTTTTGAAGCTTGAATAAAGGACGTGATAATACAACGTGTAGCATAGCTCTTAACACAACTGAATAAAGAAATTGTGTAATAAAATATAGGTGGACATGATAATTGGGTATTATGTGTTTTTGAGTAGAAATTTGGTTCAGTGTCTGCAGACGCAGCACCAAATTCATAAAACAGCCTGTAGAATTACAAGCTTCCTATCACCATAATAATTATTATTTAACTCTGCATACCATCGAGCACTGTACGTTGCCTGAATCAAACACCATACTTTACCAAGGTAAAAATACAATCAGAACATTCGATAAATATAAAAATATAGAATTCATGATAAGGTTTAAGACATTTAAAAAGGAATGCATGCACAGTAGACCTAAATATTGCTTTGAGATTATATATTGTTATTAGGCCTATTATTATTATTTAATATTACTGCTATTATTATTATTATTATTATTATTATATAAAATCACTTTATTCATTAAGACATAAAAATATACAGAATGGAATAAAGGAGAACAAATACAAGCCTAGGTCAAGTCTCTATCATAGAAATGCAAGGTAAAAGAGTTACAAAATCAAGATAAAAACATTGAAAAAGTACAAAAAACTAAACAATATTAAAATCACAAGATCACAAGAAAACAAGATTGGACAAGGTTGGTAAGGCTAAAATTGTTGCAACAGCTAAGATTATTATCATTATTCTATTATTATTATTTTCATTATTATTATTATTATTATTATTATTATTATTATTATTATTAGTGGACATTCAAATTCAAATTCAATTCAATTTAATTTATTTATCAAAAAATGTTAAAATAGCAATAAAATACATAATATAACAAAAAAAGATGAAATGGACAACCATAAAAAGCCCAAAGAGTTGTGCAAACGTGGTGTCCAATACTATTTAAAAAGTTAAATAAAATATGTTTAAAATTAAAAAGCATTCAATAATATAATTGAAATATTTCAGATTAGAATATAATACGAAGATCAATCACAGGGAGGATGGGCTATACTTTTGAGTTGATTCTTATAAACTTATTGAAAGGCATATATAATTTTATTATATTTTGTTATTCAAAAATTACACCAAAGTAAAAACATTATTTTAATTATTACTTTTTGTTATTATTTCATTCTATTCGTTAAAAAGAAAACAAAAAAAAAACAAAAAAAAAAGCAAAAAAAACAAAAAACAAAAGAAAAAAAAAAAAAAAGTCTTTCATGGAGTTGGTAGCCTCATTGTAGTAGACCTAGAGCTTAAAACTTACGAACACACTTAGATACAGTACATCTAAAAAGAAAGTCGAAAATAACCACCGAGCACTGAGAGACTGAAAATGAACACAGAATCTGAAGAAGAGCAACGACGTGAAAATGGTATGTAAATTTCAAATCATAGTGTTGGATGTAGAAAAAGAATTTTTTTAAAAATACTGAGAAATTGAGAAGATACCTAATAAGTGTATAAAACTTAATTGGCAGGTAAAATGTGAAGTTTCCGTATATCCATTAGATGGGGTGTTACGAAGAGTGTGTATAACGCACTCAACCAAATTTGATTAGGTCCTCATTTCCAAGACAGTCGGGAATGTACTGAATATATAAATTTGTGATTTTCTGTGATTTAAAAATAAAAGCTTAAATGTTTACATTTTAACAAGTAGGCCCGCCCCCACCCCCTACTTTTTGGCAGAAAATATATAGGCCTAATGTCTAAAGATTTTTGTATGATCGGAAAGAAACGCAAGGAGAAAAAAGAGGGAAGAAGGAGAAGATGGAGGGGAAAGAGAGTGTTTATCACGTCCCCGACCGAGTTACATTTTTTCTTGCAATTCGCATTAGTGGATCTGGTGGTCAGGGGTCCTGGAGCACCCCCCCCCCTCCTCCCTTGGATTTGGAAAAATCCACATCCGAAAGATCTGTTTAAATGAGTTTTCTTATGACATATAAATATATTTTGCTGTGCATTGTACAATAATAATCATTATGATTGACAGTAACTGCTGGGAGACGATTGATAACATACGGTATAAAACTTGTAAAAGCATGCAAATATCATCATGAATTTGTGGGAGATGGTTTATTTCGGAAGATTTTTGCTTGCTTGCGGACCAGAATGCGTTCTTCATGCCAATTTCCAGGAGACCCCATTCCAGGACGCGCTTCCGGGACTCTACAGGAGACTTGAGACTCATGGGCACTAAATGTGGTCTTTAGATTTCTCTATTTAGAGGGAAATTGAAAAATGATACATTAAATGTTTTAAAATGGTTGTACAGTAACTGCATGCTCTTATTTATTCTTAAATAAAATTTCTTGGTAGCCAGATATCAACTTGTCTTCCCATTAGAACATTACTAACATTGCCACTAACATTATCGTCATTCAATATACAAAACACTACACAAACAGTGCATTGGCTAATATTGGTATGTGTAACATATTTTATATAACATAATTTATTGTAGAAAAAAAAAACTGCATTAAAATCACTATTTATTTTATAATGGTCTGTACATGGAGGGGAAAGTATCAGTTGGGTCCACCAAACCCATGGTCTCTAAATAGAGGGAATCTTTAATTGGAGGGAACAGCTAATGATAAAAGATAACCATTCAACGGGGGCAGTCGCAGAAATGTGGTTTTTATTTGGAGCAATGGTCTTCAGCGGCGTCGCTAGGTGCGAAAGAGCCCCAGTGCAAGATTGCCGGGCCCTTTGATGTGATACAGGAAATTTCCTAAATTTGTCAGAAATTTCATAGTAAAAATTGCTTCTTTTACTCCCTATTTTTAAAGGCCTAGGCTACAATGGTAGGCCTAATAAATACCAATGATAATCGCTCGGTCTCAGCAGCTGTTCTAAAGTAAATCAATTATTATTATTATTATTATTATTATTATTATTATTATTATTATTATTATTATTATTATTATTATTATTATCATCATCATCATTATTATTGCTATCATATTTTATACATTATATATATATAAATATATATATATATAAATAATTCTATATATATATATATATATATATATATATTCAAAAGAGTAACATTCTATATATATACACATATATATATACTGTATATATATATGTATATATATATATATAAATGTATATTGGAAAACTTATTTTAAACTAAAGACATATCAAAATTAAATTGATTGGCGTTCTTCTACAGAATTTTATAGGAAATACAGATGATAATTCGGTTGTTACGAACTACTTTGAAGAAGGCGTTAAAGCGAGGTTCATCATGATCATGCCTGTACACTGGATGTATCACATTGCCCTCAGATTTGAGCTCATTGGGTGTCCAGGTATAGTACGTTTGCTTGGCGATAGCCTTGGTGGATATGTTCACCTATACTCATACGTTAACACTATTATAATTATCATAATAATAATAATAATAATAATACACATTTTTAAAGCGCCTATTAAAGCAAACAAAACTGGCTTGTCACCGGCGCTGGAGGATGTTAGAAAGAAGTTGAACTATTTGAAGAGGAATGATTTAAGAGTAGATTTGAATAATTGCTGTCTCTTATACACATCGAGGCAGAGAGTTCCAGAGTTTAGGAGCAGAGAAAGAAAAAGAGCGTTCACCGGTACGAATATGCTTGACTCGTGGAGTAACAAGTTTGAGGGATTGAGAAGAACGAGTAAAACGGGAAGAAACCTGTTTGTCTATAACCGAACAGAGATAAAGTGGGCACGACCATGGATAGATTTTTGGGTGAGAAGAAGAATTTTGAAAATGATTCGCTTATCAACTGGAAGCCAGTGAAGAATGTTTAAAATTGGCGTAATGTGGGTGAACCTTTTAGATAATGTTACAACACGAGCAGCAGAGTTCTGAAGTTTCTGAAGGTGTCTAATGCTACTAGCAGGTAAACCATTGAGCAATGCATTGCAAAAGTCAAGTTTGGATGAAATAAAAGCATGGACAAGAGAAGCAGCAGCAGAAGATGAAATGTAAGGTCTAATGGAACGGATACGGCGAAGATGAAAGTAACCCGATCGGCATACAGATGATATATGGTTGCTGAAGTCAAGATGTTTGTCAAATATGACCCCTAAGTTCCGAACCGAAGTAGAAAGAAATATGTTAATACCATTACAATTTATGTTAATTTCAGGAACAGTGCGAGTACGATATTTGGAAGAAATAACAAGAAGTTCAGTTTTACTAGGGTTTAATTTAAGTTTCATCTTTATCATCCTCATTTTCATCATCTTTATTCTTCATTCATTCATTATCATCATTCATCATCTTCATTCGCACCTCTTCATATGCATCTCCGTAAGAGTTCACAATCATATTGTTATTCATGTTTATCCCTCATTTATTATTATTATTATTATTATTATTATTATTATTATTATTATTATTATGGTCATTATTATTATTATTATGGTCATTCGTTATTGCTCTTATTACTGCTATTATTACTGCTGCTATTATTATTATTATTATTATTATTGTTATTATTATAGTTATTGTTATTATTATTTTCTTAAGGAGAAATATCTTATTATTATTATTATTATTATTATTATTTTCTTAAGGGGAATATCTTTTGTGTTATTCTCCCCTTAAGGTGGGTTTTAGTATATTATTATTATTATTATTATTATTATTATTATTATTATTATTATTATTATTATTATTATTATTATTATTATTATTATTATCATCATTATCATTACCATTATTATCATAATTATTATTATTATCATTAACAACAATAATAACAATAATAATAATAATAATAATAATAATAATAATAATAATAATAATAATAATAAGAAGAAGAATTGTTATTATTACTATTATTATTGTTATTCTCGAAAAGGCCGCTTTAGGCGCCCTTTCGCGAGGCTGTGAGGTACTGGGGCGGGTCCAGATACTTACAGGAGCGGGTGCAGAAAGAAGGGAACTCCTGTATAAATAACGTTAAGTGTAAATGACTTAGAGAGCCGTCTTCAGTCTTCTAACCCTCTCATCATTCGAGAGACTTAAAAGCCATGAACAATAATTTTAGCCTGCAAAATTATTCTCATAAATGACCCAAACTCCTAAAGAAGCAGAAAAGCTTCTGACTATTTAACCAATATCTGTACACTTTTTTGCTAGCTAAAATGTTAAGGGTGGTGGGGTGTCCGGATGTCGACGACCATCACCCCTTCATGGATCCGCCCAAGAGTATCATTTAAATAATCATTTTTATGCTGCAAGTATATATAGCAGAATATTCTAACGCATTAATATTAAATACTACTACGTCTTTAAATATAATTTTAGAAAGACCTTTGAAAGTGATAAGTCAAATTACATTTAAATAAAGAAGAACATAAGCCAATAATAATTTTGTTTATATTTATAATTTTAAAGCAAGATAGACCTACCTTGGTAAAGAATATGGTAAAAATGGATTATACAATGCATGCTAAAATGTTGTGATGGATGTAGACATTCCTATTCGTCACGTATTGACTATTTTAGTGATTAACATGTATAGTATAGTTTATTCCATTATATTTAGTGAAATATCTACGCGTTTGTATCAGTAAGTGGTACGTTCCACTTACCTACTACATACTCACACATACTCTGCTCTCATACATAAGCCTGGTTCTCACGAGAGCCCTAGTATCCGGATTGGGAGCTAACCGTTATCGCTAACCGTTAACACCAACGTGAGAACGCCCGATCGCTTAGGGCTAACCGTTAGCGGTGTCCGGTAAGACATTTAAAAGAATGGTGCTACTATATATTTCTTCCACGCCTCTGCACGCGTCTGGACTTTAAAGGGCACAAACATTTTGTACTTACTCAAATTATTATTATTATTATTATTATTATTATTATTATTATTATTATTATTATTGTTGTTGTTGTTGTTGTTGTTGTTGTTGTTGTTGTTGTTGTTTTTGTTGTCGTTGTCGTCGTCATCGTCGTCGTCGTCGTCGTCGTTGTTGTTGTTGTTTCGCCATTATCATTGTTTCTCTTTCAGGCATCTTGCACAGAGACAAGTTCGCTTCTTTGCCTACCAGACTCATTACGTTTTGAGTTTTGATTGAAATAAAATTAGGAATCATGAATTATCCAAGAATATTTCATCTCATGTGGATTTTTTTCTCCACGCAAATTTAATGGTGTGATATTTTTCAATGTTCAACCGGTTGGGTATCTAAAATGCCAGGTGATTTTAAGTTTCTTAGAGTCATGTTATGGTTTCCAGGAATGGAGAGAATACCCAAGTCTATTATTAATTTAATTAAATCAATAAAAATCTTAATGCTGAATTTCTCTTGGTTGATTCCAATATATCACCATCAGCATGTGACCGGCTTCTCTATGGGCTAGATAATTTCTGATAGATTTCTATTAAAATGACACCTACATAAATAATAATAATAATAATAATAATAATAATAATATCAAATATTTATATTTATTATAAAGTAATCCGTTCTATATCCCAAACCATCACCTCTTAACCTCTTAAATAATTCACTTCTTCGTTACTTACATTGTTTTATACTGAAATTCATTTTTCTGACATTTCTTTCAGAATGTTATAAACTCAAAAATGCCAGGGATTATCGAGGATCCATTAATAGAACACCTACCGGTAGAACGTGCCAAAAGTGGACATCACAGACACCACATGAACATGGCTACAAGCCAGAAAAGTTTCCAAACGGAGAATTGGGCGATCATAACTTGTGTCGTAACGTCGATGGCTATTCACACGCATGGTGTTATACGACGGACCCAGAAAAAAGATATGAAGACTGTGATATCGGTAGTCCAGGAGAATATTGCGGTATGTTTATAAATATTAAAGATTAATTGAACAATAATTAAGAAAATACTAATGATATGTACCAGGGCGGTTTATTTAATAAGCCATGATGATTATAATAATGATAACATAATTTAATTTTCTTTACAATATTATGAGTGCCATCAAATGCCAGTATCTGCATGGTTTAGGCCTCCATAAAGAAAAGGGATACAATGGGGTGGGTTTTGGGGGTATTTTAAAGTTCGGTGTATAGAAGTTTAATACGAAAGTGATAGGGTCAAGTTTCAGGAAGGTAGGGTCAACTGAGTGATGATGAACAGTTGCCCCTAATTTTTTTAGAAGACGAGGAGTTGCTTGTACGCCTTGTTGACGGAAACACTACCTTAGAAGGGCGTGTTGAAGTGTTTTTTGATGGTGTATGGGGCACCGTATGCGGTGACAGCTTTGGTTCAAGTGATGCCAAGGTTATATGTAAGATGCTTGGATTCCAAGAAACAGATTCTAATCAGTGCTGCAAAAGCTTTGGCCCTGGAAGTGGTAACATATTCATCGACGATTTAGAGTGCTTAGGACATGAGGATTCATTGGAACAGTGTCGTCACAGTGGTTGGGGTGAACACAACTGTAACCACCAAGATGATGTCGGTATCATTTGCAAACGTAATTATTTTTTGAATTTTTTTTTTTACAATCTTAATCTTTGAATAATAAAGAAAAATTTAACATTTCAAGTTTAATTATTTTTATTTTGTAGCAACGCACCGCAATACGTTTACCGTAATTACCGTACCGTATTAATAAATAGTTCGTTGAAGGTCTACTCGATACTATCATCACATTATTTGTTCCAATCCTATTAAGTGTAGTGATTAGTTTAGTTTAATAAAAATCACTTTTGATTCAAAAATACAAAAGTAAATCTTTACTAAATCTAATACAGTAATTTGCTTAATAATTTAAAGCAAAGTAGTCTTAACTAATTTTCAAACATATATATCTGTCTCTTATACACATCTAGATGTGTATAATAGACATACTATA